TTGTTTATTGTCTGTCCCTCCTCCATAGAATAAAAGCTCTGAGAGAGCAGGATTTTTGTTTGCTTTGCTCATTGTTGTATCCTCAGTCCCTTGAAGAGTGACTGACAAATTAAAAAACTATTTGTTAAATTAACACAACATTGTAAACTGACTATACGTCAATAAAAACAAAACAAACAAACAAAATACAAAAAAACTATTTGTTAAGAGTCCTTTAGTTTAAATTGACTTCATTTATGGAAAACGTGGCCTCATACTTCTCATTTTTGTGATTTTATAGAGGATCAGTGAAAATTTCATCGAAGGCTCAGCCTCGTCCTCACACTTATGTTTGGGAAGCCCTGGCCCAGAAGCTGTAAGTCCCTGGAGACAAACCCTGGCTCTGAACCCCTAAAACCAGTCCCAGAAAGGGTGGGTCCTCATTGACACTCAGCTCATAGCAGTTAGGTGCCTGAACAGCAAATGTCAGAGCCTCCTCCTAAATGCAGGCAGATTTACTTTGCAGACGGCGAGGATGCATTTTAATTTGTTGATGTGAAATCTTAATTGAACTAAACTGCTAGAGGTAGTCTCTGTTCTCTGTCATAGTCTTAATTTAGTTGGCAAAACAAGATATCATCAGAGGAAAATCACAGGCAAAGATGCAGTGCCCAAATGCAAACACCCTGCTGTGTTTGGAGGTGGGCTGGTGTGTGATTGGCACAAGCATGAACCCCATCCACGCAACTCAGAATGCCAACTTGGCTTTCCAGGGGTAGTCAGGGCACATCACAAGGGCTCAGATACATTGGCCCTCCCAAAGCAGCCAGGCTAACCACTGCTCCCCTCCTGGTTTCAATGTTCTATATTTAGTGTTAGAGCAGAAGAGATAGGGGGTTTCTCACCTGAAGGTACAGAAGCATGGGAGGTGCCAGCTCTTTCATTCATTGTTAGGGACCATGAGCCAGTCACTTCCCCTGGCCTCGGTTTCTCTACCTGTGCAACAAGGAGGTTGGAATTCACATCCCTAAAGGCTTCCATCACAACGTGCAATATATGACTCTCCAAGGACCTTCAGGCCTGTGTCAACGTCCAGACTGAGGCTCCTAACTATTGCCCACTAAATCCCTCCTGAGTTCTCAGCCATGGCATATGCTCACACTGATGGCCTCGCTGTCTCCTATGAGGAGTTAGGCTGCAGGCTTTCACTAACATAGCCTTATCCCTGACTGACAGAGTCTCAGGCTGCAATTCTGGTGAGGAGGCAGCCTTAGGAATGATTCTCTTGATGATAGATGCCCCCTCCATCTCTTTCCCAGACCTCCACCCCAGGATCCTTTTAGGCATGATATGTGTACCACACCAGCAGCTTCTATCTGCTAGGCCTCTCCATATCTGGAGAAGCGCCCACTGGGGCCTTGCTCCAAGCTCACCCTTGCTGTGGTGCCCCAAAAGGGCCTAGGCAAATCATCAGTGGAGGCTGGTGGGAATAGGCAACCTGGCAGTCCAGCTCAGATTTCTGTATTATCTTATTCCAAGGATGGTCTCTGCAAGGGAGTTCCCAGGGAAGTGACTCAGGTCTTGATATCTGTCACTGAAGCACAGCTGTAAAAGGGCCAGGGGCAGCTTCCTTGAGGGTTAAATTCCTGAGCTGGCAAATCCCCACTCTGGTGACTCACTGGCTAGAACAGAGGGTTGCAGGTCCCAGTACCTGCATTTAGTCACAGGTTCTCATGCTGGGAATCAAGTGCTGGGTGGTTTAGCAAAGAGGCAATGCCACTTAAAAGGAAGACCACAGCTTTGCAGTAGAAACCACCTGGCAAGTCCCTTCTGCTCACTGAGCTGGTTTCTTCATCTGTTAGGCAGGGATGGTATTACCTACTTTAGAGAACTGTTGTGAGAACTACATACTATAAAGTTTCTGGAGTGTCTAGTCCTGTGTGTGGTCCAGACTGCACCCTCCAAATGGCAGCAGTTGATGTGTTATTATCATTAAAGTCCTAGCACAGCATCGTGAGAGGACATGCAGAGCTGGAGATCTCCTTTCAATTCCTGGAGATAGTGGCAAACTACAGCTCACACAGACACACCCCTGAGGTTCCTCTTTCTCTGAACTCGTCTGTCTTGTTCTGTTTCCCCCTCAGTCTGTGAGGAGGCCAGGGTCAGGGAACGATGATGGCTGGTTGGTGGAGTCATGGCATTAAGGAGATAAACTATGAGCTCTGCTTCCCTCTACCCTTGGTGGAACTGGATATGGCCTTTTCCCATCACAGGATGGAAAGTCTGAGGATGCAAATCTAAACCAGCAGGCTTCTTGCACAGGAATAGCCTGGACTTATGAGCAGCCTTCCTTGGGGTGTGGTCCTTTGTAGAGACTGGACTCAGCTTTTAATTAGGTAGGACTCTTTTTACTGAAAGTGTTGGAAACCTCTTTCAAATTCTTAAGTAAAAATTGAGTGTCTTGATTCCCAGACTTGAGTAGCATTCTAATCGAAGGATCAAAGGAAACCCAGAACCAAGGGACTGGAAGCAGGGACTTGGCATGAAAGGACATGCTCTCCCTTGAAGAAAATCAAACATGGTGTTGCAGTAAAGTCTGGGCCACTATATGTTGGGAGGTCAGGAAAGGTCAGTCATGGGCAGATCTGTGGATGGGGCCACTCCAGGCAGAACTAATACAGCCGGTGCAAAGGCCCTAAGTCAGGAATGAGTTTGTTCAATGAACAGAAGGAAGTTGGTGTGAGTAGAGACGGTGAGCCAGGAAGAGAACATAAGAGATGACAGCCACAAAGGAGGCAGAGGCCAGAACATGAAGGATCTTGTAGGTCAAGATACGGAGTTTTTACTGTATTCAAAAAACTGGGGGAAGTCTCTAGAGGTTTTTAAACAATAGAGGGGGTTAACCTAACATATTTAAAAGAAAATTCCAGTTACTGTATGGAAAGGACACCAGGGATCAGGGTAGAAGAAAGCTTTGGGGGAGACTAAGGGAGGAGCAGATTTGGGCACAGGGTAGGGTAACAGTTCTGTCCTGGTCATGTTAAATTTGAGATGCTGATTACAGGTTATGTTATTTCCTTAGGGCTGCTGTGACAAATGACCACAAACTGAGTGGCTTAAAACAACAGAAATTAATTCTCTCCCAATTCTGAAGGCCAGAAATCTGGAATCAAGGTGTAAGCAGGGTTGGTTTCTTTCAGGTGCTCTGAGGGAGAATTTGTACAATGTCTCTCTCTTCTAGCTTCTGGTGGTTGCCAGCAGTCTTCGGCTGGAGATACATCACTCCAATCTCTGCCTACATCTTCACATGGCATTCTCCCCACTTATCTCTATGTCTCTATGTCTTTTCTTCTTCAGTCCTAATGTATTTAGAGCCCACTGTAATCCATATGACCTCATCTTGATTACATCTGCAAAGATCCTATGTTCAAGTCAAGTCATATTCACAAGTACCAGAGGTTAGGACTTCAATATATCTTTCTGGGAGCCACAATTGAATCCACAGCAGATATCAAGTGGGCTGGTAAGTATCGAAGGCTGAAATTCAGAGGAGAGGTCTGGCTTGCAGATACTAGCTTGGCAGTCATAGAAAACCAGCCATGGGACCAGATGTAGATAGAGTACAGAAGAGGTGATAGGTTGAACTCTACAACTGTCTAATATTTAGTGGTTCGTGAATAGAAGGAGTCAGTAAAGGAGACTGAGAAGTGGTCAGTGAGGTAGAAAACCAAGAAGAGTACAGTGTCCTGGAAGCCAAAGGGAGATCATGTTTCAAGACAGAAGTAGCAGTCAACTATGCTGAGAAGCAGCTCTTAGACCTGGCAGCATGCTGACCATTGGTGATCCTGACATTTTAATTTCAGTGGAGTGGTGAGGATGGAAGAGAGAATATGACAGAAGAAGTAGAGGTAGGAACTATATACCACTCTTTCCAGTAGTTCTGCCATGAAGCATAGTAGAAAAACTGGGTGGCAATAGAAGGGAGTACAGGGTAACTGGAGGGTTGTTTATTTATGTTTTAAAGCTACAACACATTAGAGAATGTCTGTATGATACGGAGCATGTTCTACTGCAGCAGTTGGCTGTTGACGGAAGCAGGGACACTCAATCCACTGTATAAAGAGGGAAGGTAGATCATGTGAGTACACATACAGGTAGGGAAATAGAACTGGTGCTAGGAAAATGAGGGAGCAACTCTCTAATTGCTTCTATTTTCCCATGAGGGATGAGGCAAGATCATCAGCTTAAAGTGAGGAGTGAAGAGAGGGAAAGATGTTTCAAGACACAGGAGGAGTTATGAAGTGGAAGTTTTGAAGACTGAAAAGTGAATCTATTAAAGGAGTATAGGAAGGTTACAGAATAGTAAGTGTCCTCTTTAGAGTTCCTATTCATACCTGGGACTCTTTCCAGACATCTTTCTTCTGGGTCGGTACCTCCTCTCGGGAAAATGCTCTGGGTGGCATTATTTAGGTCTTATGCTTAGCTCTTGTCCAATCACTGTGTCCAGACGATAAGATACTGTGACTAGGCTGATGTGAGTCACAAACTTAGCTTTAAGACTAGAAGGCTGGTGTTATGACTGGCAGCCCCACCAGAACTACATGCAGTTGAGGGGGAGGCAGTGTTTCCTCAAAGGAAACAGGGGTGTTAGACAGACAGAAAGCAACAGACATCCACTCTCTCCTACTGCTCTCACAGGGTTGTCCTGAGGCCCATGAGACAGTATCTGTGAAACTGCATTATGGAATGCATAGCACTACACAAGGTGAGGGGTTATTACAGTAACACTTAGTAAATTATGGATTTGTTTACTTATTCACTCAGCAAACAGTTACTGAGTGTCTAAATAAGGCTTTATACTAGATTTATGAAGGAGAAGAAACAAATTATGAATCAGATGTGATCCTCTCCATGAATGAGCTTGCAGTTTGGTAAAGATATATTAGTTAGCCTTTGCTGGGTTATGCTGTGATAACAAACAACCTCCCCAAACTCTGTGCTTTGTAACAACAAAGGTTTACTTCTTGCCCATCAGCTTTAGGTTAGTTTTGGCTCTGCTCCAAGAGTCTAGTAGATGTCATTCTTGTGGCAGAGGGTAGAGAGGATACTGTAGTGGCTGCTAAAGCTTCTGCTCTCATTTGATTGGCTAAAGTAAGTCTCAGGACCGAACCTGGTAACAATGGGGTAATGAAGTTATCCTCCTTCCACAGGAAGGTGTTCCAAGTCACACGCCAATATCTGGCAATTTATAATACTTTTATAGAGAGGAGAAGTGCATAATTGGGAAAAAATATATATTATTACAAAAGGGTAGAAGCGCATAAATACTCATGACACAACAGAAAGTGATCAGAGTCCTATGATTCAGGGCATTAGGAGCTCAAAGCGGAGAGCAATACTCTCCAGTTGGGGAGACCAGAGAAGAATTCTTGGAAAAAGTGGTTTTTGGGCTGCATCTTGAACAATACTAGAGGATCTAGGTAGGTATAGAAGAAGAAGGCAGGGCATTCCAGCAGAGGAACAGCATGAGAAAGCCATAGAAGATGGAAAGTAAGATGCTCAGACAGGGAATGGTGAATTGTTTAGACAGCCTAAAGCAGAGAAATTGGGAGGAACTAATGGAAAGATAGCAAAATGAGTATGTCTGATGGCTCTGAGAACATATAGAAGGTCTGATCCCCACTCCATCCAACCCAGGCCGGGGTTCCTGGATCAGGGAAGTGCCTGCAATTGCTAGTAAATGAGTCTAGAGCAGCTGGGCCTTTGGCTAGACTCTTCTGTCCTTCTTGGCTTCGTCAAGCCCGGGTCCTAGCCTCTCTCTCTCAACACCTCTTTCAAAGTTTTGTTGGAAATTGGATTCTTAGTGTTCTTATAAACATGGGTTTTCTACTTGTTTCCTCTGCCTGCGGCAGCCAGCCCCATATCCAAAAGACATCTCCACACAAGGAGATGTTCAAACCAAAAAAGAAGTCTTCCCAGAAACAGTAGGAGTGACAAGATGACCTGGTAGAGTACCCAACCTTGCAAAGAAAGCCTTGGGCTTCATCCTGCTGGCTTCTCTTTTCTACTGCAGTAGTAAAATGAGGTTCTGTTTTGTTTAGAATAAGATCCCCAAATTTATTTTGCTCATAATGTTATAAAAGAAAAATATAATGGCTCTTTATGGTTGCATGTATTACAGTATGAATTTCATTCTTTTTGGATTCAACTTATTACAGCAATGATTTGGGTTAAACATTTATATAACAGAAACTTTCTGCTTCGTATTATGTGATAAGAATGTGCTGATTAGTAAAAATTAATTCTGTAACAATCTTGTTTGTTTTCTTTGTAGTTATCAAATGCAGTACACAGACGGAAAAAGCTTTGTGAGAGTGGGTCCCGGCTTGTTGGAACTAATGAGCTGCCTATGCGGTGGGTGTGTGGTCTAAATGATACTGGCCCTGGGCAGGCTTATACTTTTAATCATTAATGCCCTGCAGCCTGCTAGAAGCATAGAAAGAAACAGGCTGACTAGGACATGCCAGAAGACAGGGGGGGCCACCTGGAGGCCTCCCATTGCCCTGAAGGCATAAGTGGAGCTCAGGGCCCTGTTACTAGGCACAAACCTTGGTGGTCGTGCCTCAAGAGAGGCAGGATCTCTCCCTTGGGTATAGCCTCCCATGTCAAACATCTTAGTAGGTGCTAGAGCACAGGCCTGAGGAGAGGCTTGCGTATTACTTATTCCATCATTCATTCACCCAAAAATATGTACTAAATACCAACTCTGTGCCAAGCACAGGGTATAGTAATAAACAAGATAGACAAGCTCTCTGCTCTTTCAGTTTCATTTTAGTGTGGGAAGCAGACAATAAACAAGGAATAAATCAGCAAGATAAGATCAGTTAGTAATAAGTGCTGTGAAGACAGTAAGAGGGTGATGTGATAAGAGTGCTTGGACCTCTAGTCGGGGGAAGGCTGCTCTGCAAAGCTGACATTCATGCTGAAACCAGAAGCATGGGAAGGAATCTGCTTTGCAAAGTGCTGGGGGAAAGCCTTCTAATCATTGGGAACAACAGGAGCAAAGGCCCCAAGGCAGGAAAAGACTGCAGTTATTTGATGGACAAAAAGGAGACAAGTGTGACTGAAGCATAGTGAGCAAGAGGGAGAATAACTGGAGCTGAGGTTGGAGAACTGAATAAAGGTTAGATACTTAACTGGGAAAAATGAGAAATCACTCTAGGTAGTTTAAGTACACAATTGGGAAACTGGGAAAATCAGAAATCATTCCAGGTATTTCAAGTAGAAGGAATTTAATTTGAGGAATTGGTAGCAAACATGTTGGAAGAGCTAGAGGAAAAAAAGGAAGGAGATGAAGTTTTCTGAAGATTAGTAATTACAGGAAGTCACTATCAGCCCTAAAGCTGGAAGAACAAAATAGGAAATGGTTATCACCAGAGCTGAAAATTGCTGTGCTACTGAGGCTGCTTTTTTTTTTTGTGATTTACCAAGATTTTAATGTGTTTGGAGAGAAATCTTACTGAAAGAATAGCGATGACTATTTTCCAGCAAATAGTGAGTGAAAAACAATTTTAACCCCAAGCTGAGGTGATAAACCTGCTTTTTGGGGGACACAACTGCTGTAAATGAGACAACTGTAGCAACCATCCAAGACAATAAAAGAAAGCCTGTGACAATCTGTCCTATTATGGTGAGTGTGCATCATAGTTCACCATGGTTTTTTGTGAGATCTTCCCCATAATTGGTGGCTTGGCTTCCAACAAATATGTCCCAGTTTTCCAAGAACTCCTCTCTAGTGAGCTTTTCATCCTTGTTTTTGTTCTACTCATATACTAGGTGCCTGGCCTCGGCCTGTGTGTGGTTATAGGCTTGGGGGAGGATCCAGTGGTGAATCTTATCTTTGTCCAGCTTCCCATCCTTGTTCAGATCCCAGAATTCATTAAACTTCCCCTGTTCTGACAGAACTCAGTCTGGCTCTGGGCCGTTCTCCTCATGGGAAAACACATTGGCGATATACTCATTTTGATCCAAAGTCATCCACTGAGGCTGCTTTTAAGAACTAAGCTGCCTGAGCAGAAACCCAAGAGAAAGCAATGTGGCCATTGCTGGAGGTGCCATGGCTTCTCGCTTACTCCTGCTCTCCAGTCTCCAGCCAGCGGTTCCAAGTGGCAGAATGTAACAGGAAGCCAAGTCACCAAAGGGATATAGGAAATGTGGATTGCAGGCTCCTAGGTTTTGGGGGACAGTGTAGAGGGCAGATGTAGAGCTGGACAACAACACTCACCATCAACCAGCGTTAAGGGTCTGGATATCATTCTGCAGGCCCCGTTCATGAGCTTTCCATCTGATATGCAGAACAGGCTGCAGGGGCAATTGGATCACCTACCTCACTTCACATCTGTAAAATAGAAATGACAAAAGTCATGGGTTTGTTATGAGGATTCAGGAACATAACGTATAGAAAATAGTTAATGCAGTGCCTGCAGTGTAAGGTTCAATGAATGTTATCTATATATGAAACTATACTGAAAGTACAACTAAATCATGTGGGGGACACTCAGCCTTTTGGATCAAATAAAGTACATCTTAGTACGTGGAAAGGCTGGGAACCAATGGTCTTAGGAGAGCTCAGTCTAGACAAATTGATAGGATCAGACAACCTTCTTTTCCAGTTACTCCTATAGGGCTCACACAAAAGACTTCTGCCACGCTCTGCTTCTGTAAGCTCTACTTGGCCTCAATGGGAAACACAGAGTATAAGGAGTTTGATGGAGGAGTTGGGAATCTGGCAAAATAATGAGCTTTGTTCCAGTTATCTACTGCTGTGTAGCAAAATACCTGAAAGCTTAAGAGCTTAAAACAACCATTTTTCACACTCATGACTCTCTGGATCAAGAATCTGAATGGGTACAAGTAGGGAATAGATCGTCTCTGTTCTATAATGTCTCAGGCATCGGCTGGTATGATTAGAAGTATGCAGGTCTCTCAACAGCAGGGGGCTGGAATCACTGAATGCTCTTTCAGTCACATGTCTGGTGCCTTGACTTGAAGATGAAGACTAGAGGCCAGAGCGCCTACACATGGCCCCTCTAGGTGGTTTGGCTTCCTTACAACATGCTGGCTGCGGGCTAGCCAGTCTTCCTATATGGTGGCTTAGGGCTCTAAACATGAATTTTTCAGCTAACAAGGTGGAAGCAGTATCACCTTTACAACCAAGCCTCAGAAGTTTCTCAGAACCACTTCTGTTGCAACCTATTAGTCTATAATTTATAAGGAAGCCACAAACCTACTGGATTCAAGGGGAGGTGGGATATACGCCACCTCCTGATGGGGGATTGACAAGGTTCTAGAAGAGCATATAGGATGGGAAATATTAGTGTGGCCATTTTTTGGAAAATACAATCTGTCACAGGCCTGCAGGTTAGAACTCACACTTCCCATGGGCCTGGAACCGTGCCAGCCATTCTAAGAAAGTAAAGTCTGAGCTCCCTGAAGAAGATAGGACCAAAGGCACATGCCCTTGTCTGTGTGCTGCCTTAATCTTCAGACAAAGCCTCCCTAAATCTCAACAAAAAGGGGAGCTGTGGCCCAGAATACATCCTCAGAAGTCCACAGAGAGTCCACTGGTAAAGACTTGGGGGACCTATGTCACATTAGAGAACAAGAGAGTTGCCGGGAGTCTCATCTGACACTGGATAATGATGATGATAGTGATGATAAGATATTTACTGAGTGCCCATTTAGGACCAGGCACTTAAATATGCCCAAAAAGAAATGTAGAGCCCTAAAAGCATATCTTAGAAAAGAAAGAAAATTGAAAATTAATGAGCTAAGGATCTGTCTTAATAAGTTACAAAAAAAAAAAAACAGAGCAAAATAAATTCAAAGAACATAGAAGGAAGGAAATGGCAAGATGAGGAATAAAAACTGAAGAAATAGAAACCACATATGCAGCACAGAGGATAAGCCAAGCCAGAAGCCAATTCTGGGAAAAGTGAAAAATCTCTGATGATACTGATCAAGAAAAAGTTGAAAGAAGACAAAAATAAACAATGTCAGGAATGAAAATAAGTATTTCTATGGATGCTTCAGGCATTAAAAAGAAAATGAGAAGATATTATGAATAATTTTGTACCAATAAAACTGAAGATATGTGTGAAACAGACAAATTTCTCAAAATACATAACTTACTAATACTGACTCAACTTGAAATAGGAAACCTGAATAATCCTATAATCATTAAAGAAATTGAATCAGAAGTCAAAAAAAATTCCCATAAAGAAAACCTAGGCTTTACTGGCAAGTTCTAGTTCTTTAAATACCCAACAGGGGAATTAGTATTCCCTTCTTCAGATGAGGAAACTAGAATTCCAAGACTTCAAGCAGCTTGCCTTTAGGCCAGAGCTAGCAAATGTCAAAGCCAATATTTGAACCCTTGCTGGCCTGGCTCCAAAGCCAGGAAGTTTAGCCATGACACTCCCCAGCCTTCTCTTCAAATGCTATAACTAATAGCATATATATATGAAGGTGAAGGACAAGTCTCTGAAGCAAAAATACAAAAACAGATTCTAGATTTCCAGAGATGGAAGGTAAAGCTCCTTTTCCTGGGGAAGCCCTAGAAATAAGAATCTGGTTATGTCCACACAGAGAAGGAACCTGGAGATTAACCCCAGGACAACACCCCACCATCTTTCAAGACCTATTCAAATACCACCACTGTTCTCCTGCAGGGCACCATAAACACTGCCTAAGCCCCATCGCTGCCCCGGCCTCCCATACATTTGAACGCCCACAGCACTACATCTGGGCCTCTTCTATACATTGCTGTGTATCATCCTCACTAATGTTTTCCAACCTTGGGAACACATGACTTCCTAAGAACACAAACTCTGGTTCAAGAAACATGCATTAAAACATTAAATATTGGTACTCTAGGTGATCAGTGAGGCTTTGAAAATTGTAAGGCAGCTGTCGTAGTCATCTGAGCCATACAGAGTATGTTCTTACTAAAAGGCATGTTTTGAATTTTCACTGAAATAAAAACTAAAAATTTAAATATTCACATAGCAAACTTTGTGGTCCCTGTAGATAGATTTTATCTTTGTAATAAGGCATGAACTATCCATGATACAATGTAGGATTTCATTATCTCTTTAAATCAAAATTAAATTCAGTTTAAATTCTGTGGAACACTGGATTATTGTCTCATTTCTTTGCACCCTCCTAGGTAATAGGATTATATATCCACATTCTTTGCCAGGTAACTTTGCAGGTTCCTCCTGTGCGTGAAGTCTATTTCTCCATGCCTTGACTCTGGGCTTGGCCATATGACTTGTAACCAGTGGCGTTTGATGAGACTTGACACAAGCAGAGGCTTAAAATGGGCTGTGCATTGGGGCTGTTACTCTTGTATTCCTCCTGTCTCCATTAGATGAACATTTTTGGGTTAGCCTGCTGGTCCTGGAAGGAGGATGAGAGATATATGGAGCAGAGCCAAACCACCCCAGCCAAAGCCAGCCTATAAGCAACTAGCCCACAGCTGGCCTCCAAACACATGAGTTAAATAAATACTTACTGCTGTGTGCACTGAAATTTGGTGGTTGTTATACAGCACTGCTATGACATAGTTTACCAGGCCCTCAGTCCATGCCAGTTGCCACAGCTGTATCCCCTGCCTGGACTGCAAAGCACATCTGAAAGTGAGTGTTCTGAGGCAGCTCCATGCCCTCTGTGACAAGTCCAGCCACAGTGGCCTTTGTCAAGGCTTCCCAAACTGTGGCCCTTTTTGCTCAAGGCTCACAGGAATTCATGGCCTTCAGTGATTGCCTGGGTTTGATTCTCAGATCCATAACCTTGGACAATTCATTTAACCTTTCTTTACCTCATCTGTAAAGTGGAAACCATAATAATACTTCACAGGGGTCTTGTGAGAAATAAGTGACTACATATAAAGTGCTTAACACAGTGCCTGACATACAGTAAGTATGCAATAAGTGCCAGCTGTTACTAATATCATATATTTGTTCACCTAAATATTCTCCCTCCTATGTCCTCCCACCTCAGAGGACCTGTACTCACAGGAGTGGAGGTCTCTGCTCTGATGGAACTCACACCTCCATCCCCATCCTTCCAACCAACCCTCCTGACCTGGGCCCATCCCTCTTCAGTCGGAGAGCATTAAGCCTCCAATCCTTATCTCTGTTAAAAAAGGCTGTAAGGAAGCTGACTTCCAGGTAGCCTGGTGCTTGCAACTTTTCCTTTCTATCCAGAAACACATAAATCCTCATGGGGGTCAAAAAAGTCCAAACCTCAATGACAACACAGTCTGGCTCTCCTCCCAGGAGGGGTGGAATGCTTTTCATTCCTTTGAGGTGAGGCTGTAGCTGAGAAAAACTAGACAGGGTTATTTTCTAAATAGGTCATTCTGCTCTGTCTAACTCTCAACAAATCTTCACCACTAGACTGTCAATTCCTTGGCTATGCTTTATTTCCTGTGTACCTCCAGAGTTTAGCACAGAACCCACACTTAGCAGGTGCTTGATAAAATGTTGGGTAAATAAATGAATGGAGAATATGGGTTATAGGACCAAGACAATTTCCAAACTAGGAATGGGGAAATAAGTATCAGCACTCACTCTGTGCTCAGCCTCATGCCCAAAGCTGAGGCTCACACAATAAAAGTACTTGAGCCTGGACTCAAGTCCTCAAAGACTTAAAAGTCTACAAAGGAAACAAAGCTCAACCATACAAATCATTTGCTCTGTTCCACATCAGAGAGAGCCCACAAAGGTGCTTTGTTCAGAAGCTGCTGTGGGCTTGATGGTGCACAGGAGGCTTAGGGAAGAAAGAAGTAGGATGTGGCCCAAGGTTTGAAGGTCTGAGAGGGGCTCAGGCTCTTAGCAGAGGGCCACCAGCTTATCAGATGTCCAAGAACATCATGACTAAAGGCACAGCACAGGAATGAGTTTGCTATTTGCGGGAAAAAAACAAGGAAACCAGGCTGACCTGGCTGTAGGACTTGTGATAAGGAGTCATGGGAGATAAGCTTGGCTATTTTAGGCTGTGACCTGAGCGTGGAGACATGGAAGTCCAGGCTAGAAGTAGGTCCTGATAAGTCAGGCAACAAAGAAAAGGTTCTGGAGATGCAGTGTTACAAGCATCCAGTAGCATCAGGACCTCTCATTCCTCTCACTCCAGGACTAGATGAGATTTGAATCCAAGCCAGAGACTCCAGATATGAGCCCATTAGAGGGACAGAGCCCACAGCTCCTCTAAGAAAGAAGAATTTGTATTGGTGAGAATGTTTGGCTGCAAGCAACAGAAAAATCTAGCTAACTTAAGCCAAAAATGATTATATTCAAAAGAAATGGGGGTGGCTCACAGAATCAAAGAAAATA